TATGGATCAATGGTGTATTTTTTAATAATTAATTTCTTGTGTTTCTCTGATCTGTGTTGGCGAATTAAACCGTTTTGTAAAATCCTCAGGAGATAACTACAGTTGTGATTTAGAGCTATACAAAAATACATTGAATTTAATTGAAAGCTTTCCAGAATTGTCAATAACTCTTGGCTCCTGTTTTTTTTTCCCCCATTTTTTCCCATTTAGCCCTTCTTCAATAGCTAAAAACCACATCTGAGAAATAGCTTTAAAAATATGGCACTAAATCCCACCGCATTTCACAAGTGGAGTAATGTCCCGACTGCCTTTAAACTCTTAATTAACCCGAGAGCTATTTACGCAACTCCGACCTCAAATAAATGACGGACATTCTTGCGGACATTCTTATTAACGCATTCCGCGACAGGTTGCAGTGTATGGTTAGCCTTCCCAGACGTGGACCCGTGGGCAAGGCCAGGGAAGAAAGGGCCAGGCTGGATTCTACAGGGGATTTACAGTCCAAACATGAAGGCAGACTTGAGTTTCTGAAGTACACCTGAAGGTAAGCTTTGGTCTGGCACGTGAACTAAAGACTGTTTCGAGTGTGTCGTTACAACCGCTTATCAAGATTGATGACTATCTTAAAGTAACTGCCGAATAAGAGCTGGGGAGAGAGTGCAGAGAAATGAACTGACTTAGTATATATACAGTAGGTGAAACTCAGAAAATGAGTTCAAAAAGCGCATTTATTTATGTAATTCAGCTTAACACGTGAAACCAAAACTTAATCTAGATGCGAAGTGACATTTGTCGAGCTGCTGTTTGTTATTATTTTGGTGTTTATGGCTTAGAGTCCATTACCAAAATATGATCAATACTTTGAGATGTTTTATGTAGGGTTATTTACAAGCTGTGAGCCAATAGTCGGCATTAAAACAAATATTCTCACTATGTAAATTCAATTATGTACCTTCTGGATTATTATCGCACCTGTATACAAACCACACCAGTTGAATTAAGTTGAAGAAAGATAAATAATGTCCTATTGTCCACATATAGGCACTTTAATATAAGCCACAGGTTTTGATATTGACCTTTTTGACAACAAAGTGTATCCCAATCCTAGTAAAACTTGAGTAAAATAATAATTTATATCCCTCTGTTCTGACTTCAGCCCTAGTCAGGTAGAAATAAGTCTGGTGTATTTCCCTGCACATCCTTGTGTCTCTCTTCTGTTCACATAAACACACCAGGAAGCAGGAATGTGTGCTATGTCATAGGCTCTGGAGATCAATAGCTGATAGAGGAAGACTAACAGAATGAAATAATATACATCACAGGGTTCAAATATTTCGAAAAAAAAGTTGTTTTTTTCTTATAGTGCTGAAATAATGGTTCAGAAGTAAATAGACTTTTGACCAGATTATTCACAATCATTCAGTTGCATAATCTACAGTGAAAATGCTTGACTCGCATGTTGATTGATCCATACTGCGGAATATTGTAGACAAAACATTTCGATGGACCCAAGAAAAAAAAGCAGATGCTCTACCAAAAAAATTATGTGATGCACTCTCCTCCTTCCTTGTCAGAATGGTAGTGCTATTGGCGGAAAATCCAAAACTGACTTCTCAAACTATTATTGACATATACATAAGAAAAGGAACCTATTGTTTAAACAAGAGAAAAGGAAAGCAGATACAAGCAATATCACAAAGTAAGGAGCCATCTATTTTATCTATTTAACCGCTATTATGGATTGATGATTCACTAAAGTGGATTGATACAGATATGGAAAGAGAAATGCAGAGATTTAGAACTTTTTCCCTGTATAATAGCGCACTATCAGCAGATTTCAACGTCCTTCAATTTCCCTGCACACAAACCATAATAATGTGTCGCTGGGCTGTTACAGGAATGCTACTCTTTCCAAACAGCTCCCAACGCCTCGTGCTTGACTGTAATGTAGATTGTTAAAGCTTGTGGGTGTTTCAGGGGGTGAGTAATGAGAGCGTGGTGTGGTGTTTATTAGCACATGGGCAGCTAGTTACATTTACGGCATCAAACTACAAAGCTGACCGATATTACCAAAGTATTTTAAAGCGGCAGTCCTGTATTTATAGTTTTAATTAGTTACAAGATGGCATTGTGTGATTTGCTTATGAATGCTTGTCATAAAGTGATACAGCGCGGTGCAAATTCAATTAATAACAAATGATAAGTAATATTGTGGAATCAGTTTCATTCTTTGATAATATTGCTGGAAAAAGAACGCATAAAAAGCCCAGATTTATAGGAGGCAGTGTTTCCCACACATAGACTAATCTGTGGCGCACCGCCACAGATTAGAGACCGCCCGCCACAAATTGCGTTTCGTATTATTATATATATATTTTTTTTGTTACGCTATTTAAAACATGCATCGTCTAGTGCCGCCGCAGCGGTCAATTTGACAGCGGGGAGGGGGGTTTAAAATGTGGCGGCCCTTCGTAACTCTCAGGCCCTGTTTATACTGAGACGCTGCGCAGACGTTTCCAGGCTATTAACAGAAACGACCTGGCTCCTAATGCAAATTTCTCAGCGTTCACATGTGGTTGAAAAACGATGTAGTTCTAGCGCCCGGCCAGTAGTGGGCAGAGAAACTTTACAACACTCACACGACCCCCAGCCCCGTGCCCAGCCCCCCTCCCGGCAGTATACTCACTTCCTGTGCCAGACCCTCAGAGAGTACCAACATCATTCTGCATTTTAACAGCAGCTGTGAAAATGGGAACTGAACCTAGAGCTTCGCGTGGTCTCGTTTGGACGAACGAAGGAGTAGAGTTATCCTCTGTCCCGCGCTGGAAGTCCACGTAGCTAGTTTGTGTGGGCGGCGCCATTATTGTTGATGTTTGTTCTCCGCTACTGCGCATGTCCAAATTTACGTGCGGGGAGCAGCGCGGAGGCGGGGGTCAGAGCAGAGGGGGATTTCACACCTTTCCCCTCTCGCGGGTGTGAAAAAGCTCCCTGCTGTGCAGCGTTTCTGAGTTGTCCCACTCTGCAGGCTGGATCTGAACACTTACGTTTTCACCCCCCTGGAACACTGTCTTCGTATGAACGGTTGGTAGCAACCGACATCCTACTATACCGTTTTACTGCCACATTGTCTCCGTGTAAACTCAGCCTCACTCAAGCTACGCGTCTCTCCCACATACAGAGACCTACACACACACAGCCCCTCCCCTTCGTGCACACCGCGTGTCTCCGTCTCCATCAGCGATCATCGCTGTAAGCAGCTGTGTCTATTAATTTACCGCGGTAAAGTGGCCCGCATCTTTCAGCTCTATGAACATGCGGCCCGCATCGGGGAAAAGACGGTGCGCGTTTTGTTGAGAACTTATGGTAACAGCGGAACGTCCTTTCGGAGTCACCCATTTTTATCGAACAGAAAGCGCGCTGGGGTCTGGGAGACACGTTTTTGTGATTAAAACCTTATAGAGATGACACAGAGCACCAGCCCCCTACGATTCCTCCGGCAGGCTGTGAGTCCTCAGGAGGATAGCCACTCTATTGTTTACATATATAAAGTACACAATTTGGTCCGCTAGTGCAATTTTCAAGTATTGTAACTATTTACTGGAATAAGGTGTGCGACTAATTTCACTTGACTCATGACCTTATTATTGCCCTCTGCCACTGTACCAAAGACCCCACTCCCCCCCGCCGACGACCACCACACATTGCCTTCAAACCTGTGGGAAACACTGGGAGGCTTATGAACCGACCCATTTAACATTCAGTATGTCTTGATCTCTTTGGACAGCATTAACAAACTAAAAATAACTATATTTTTTGTAAACAAATGAATTCTCTATTATTGTTCAAACGCCTGTACTAGACATGGAATGGACCGAGTTTAACCCAGGATGACTAAAGCTGTAATAGGCTGTATGGAGTTATAAATAAGATAAGGACACATATAAATACATATCTAAGACAGAGGGGTTGTGGGCCCTATCACATTGATGGCCGCTCTGGTTTGGCCCCTGTACCACGAGTTGAACTTATCCAGTCTGGCACCTGCAAACCAGTCACATCCTCAGCTCCAGACTAAACCTAATTAACACCTCTGAACTGGAAGTGGAAGCAGCACTCCAGTCTCCCCAAGTCAACAAGAGAGCCGGGCACTATGTCCAAATGGATCCAAGAAGACAAAATCAACAATTCTTGATAAAGCCACACATTTACAAACTTGTAACTCAAACAAACTCTTCGCTTATAACACGGTGTGACTTCTGGAGGAGCCTGCATGATGATAATACCAGGGTAATATGGTGTAAAAACATATGGTTCGTGGAGATTGGCAAGTATGACCAAATTACAAGATAACCCATACAACATTTCTATGTATTAACTCTCCTCCAGGGCAAGTACAAGTCAGATCTGTGAGGATGCAAGCAACAGGTCTTTCCACTTTTGTCAGTAGTCAGCATCAGTAGTCTGCAGAGGCACAAACAATACTTATATATACAATAATTATCACCAAGATTAACCAAACCAAAGCACCATGATCCATAGAACCCATGCAGTATATGCTGATGCAGGACACAGTTGTGGCTATATTCGGTGACATGATGAGAGTTTGGAATAGTTTCTGACACAGCTGAGACACCAACAACACACGAATCCTCACTGTCCATTTAAATACAGGTTGCAAACGATAAGTGAGCAAGCTGCAACTCAACATTACGCACGTTACGCAGCAGCTCAGAGAAACGCGAATCCACCTACTGTGATCCAAACCCAACAAGGCGTATGGGGCACTCTCACAGAAGTAATACCAACACAACACAACCTCTTTCTCTCTCTTCCAATAGGTTTATGTGGAGCGGGCCTTGACTGACTGGCTGACTGGCTGACTGCTGCTGCTGTTTTTGATGCGTACTTCACACGTACTTACTACACAACGAAGTGCAAATGGTGACTGTTTGTGTCCCCCATCCCCCCCACCCCCTAAAAGAAATGACAACACCACTCACCAGCATCCCCATTACGTCTGCCCAGAGCTGGGTAAAGCTGTCGGACTCCGCCGCAGGAGAAGTGCCATTACTTTGAGCTTCCTCTGGCGAAATCACGCTAGCTTCTTCACCCTCCATTGTAGAGCCAGTAAATACTTATTAACTACTTTTAACTATAAAGGAGAGGGGGAAAGAGCCAGTGCTGCGCTCTCTTTCTCTCTCTTTCTCTAGACAAAGTCCCCCATGTCACGCTGGAGTCATTTTCCAACTAGAGCGCATGGAACGGGTTGAAGCTCCGTGCGTAAAGTTTGCATCGTGTCCAAGCAAGCGTAAAACTTTTGTTCACCCAGATGTTAATATTCAAGCGATTGGAACAACAGGTCTCCTTCTACGTCTCCCAATTGCAAACTTTTGCTTCTCTCTTCTCCGCGTCAAGCAACAGCGAGCCTTCCCAAAGTCCAAACCAACGAGTAGAAGTGGGGGGAGGTTAGGTCTCATGAGCGCGCACAAACTTAGATTTACAGCTCAGGACGCAGGGTTAAAGTTAAAATAAGTTGTTGAAGAAGAGAAAGCAGCCCGCGGGAGTCTGTATCTCTGCACCAGAATAAGAGAAAGATGTTGAGAAAGTTTTTGCCCAGCGGCTAGAGTGTCCGCTTCCCCCGCCTCAGGTTTGTGCGCCTCCCAAACATCAAGCACATGTCACGGAGCATCCAGGACCATTGCCCCCTACTGGTCAACTATGACACTACAGGCTACTGGCATCACAATGGGGACTTAGCTCACCTTTTTTCACAAAAGTAATGTTGAAAATAGTTTGGTTTTTTTGTAAGGGCGGTGACCTATTGATAACATATTGGCTTGTGTGATTGCGTGGCATAAACTTACTCAAACGTAAACAATGGCTAAACAAGGTACATTTCTTTGACAGAATAGCTTACACAACACAAAATAGAAAAGCTTGTGTTATTATTATTTAAATCTAGGCACCAAGATTATGCCAGTATGGATAGTATCATAGTCCTTATTTTGACTCCACCAATGTGTGTGCATGGTTTGTAACTCTGTATAGTTTTTATTTTTATTTTTAGCTTTTTATCATTTATCTTGTCTTGATCTTGTTTTCTCCAACTTCAATTGAACTAGCATTGCAACAAATAGCTCATTGTGGGATACAGATACGTTTTTGTTTCGTATCATGTGACGAATCTTATCTGGCGTGACATACAACTTATTTTTATCTGACCTTACTCTAACTATTGGATAATTTCTGATTTTTTATTATACATATATTTTTTACTCTTTTATTTACTTATTTTCAGTCTGAATGTATCGACCAAGTGTACAACAATAATTCTCAACGCCGTATCTAGTGCTGACATTGCCTTCCACTCATACACGGCTTGTGTGCTGCGCCGCTTCAATAGAAACAGTGAACAAAGCACATTCTCTGCTCAATTGTATGGAAAGCAAAAAAAAGCACATGGGGAGATGTTCGACGGATGGGGCTTGCATACACATCGTATCTGCCTAAAGCCAAAACATATAAATATAATTAGCATTGACGCATTGGAGTGTGGAATCTAGGCAACCTCTAGATTTCATACTTTACTTTTACTCCCAACTTTAGCAGTAGGACGGTGGGCTGCCAGTTCTGGAGGTTCTGTATGAATCCAGACTATTGAATCAAGCTCAATGACTCTTCTGACTACCCTGGAAAAGCCATGTTCCAGCTTCTTCCCTCTGGCAGAAGATATTGTTCCGCTGAGAGGCAGGAGCTAACAAGCTGCTATCAGTTTGAACAAAGCCCTTAAATTATCGTGACTGAAACTGCTTTCGTTTATTGGTTTAAAAGTGACGATTGTTCTTATTTTTTCGCTTGTTTTACTTTATGTACTTGTCTGGTTGCACACTGAGGTACATTTTACACATGTATTCCCATGCCATTTTCCGGACAACTACATATAAACTGAATCTGAATCTGTAAATAGGTCAACACTTGATTTAGTGAAAGTGAAAGGCGTTATGGCGAGGCGTGAAATTGCACGGCGATCTTTTGTTACGCTCCTCCAGTGAGCAGCTGTATTGTAAATATGGAGATGTAGAACTCGTCTTGTTGTTGCATGTGGAATCGTATTTTTCCCGGAGAGCGCCAACAGCTGCTGGCGTTCCTGACAGATGCCGTAGATGGAGCGCGGAGAGCGAGAAGCAAAACAACACTTTTCTTCACGGTTAACAAGATGATTAGGCTAGCGATCACGTGTAGAAGTACAACCAGGACCACACATATGACGGTGCATTCCAGACTCGTAACATTAGAACTATGCAAAAGATAATTGGTGACATGCTCGTCTCCCTGGATACAGTTACAACATGGGCCCGAGTGTCCGGAGGGGCTGCGAGGTATGTGTGACATGTGACAGGCAGTGTTTTGCAAGAATAAAAAAATGTATGTATTGTATGTATGTATGTGTGAATGTAAAAAAAAAAATGTCATTAGATTTGCACATACTATGGTCTAGTTCCCATTTTTGGAGTGGAAAACATTCCTCAAAAGACAATTGGAAATATATTGCAAAAACTATTCAATGGAAAGGGGATATGAAGGGAACCCTTTATAGGAATTCCAAATATGTTGAATATCTTGAAATGTTTTACTTGACCTGCAATAAGTTAGAACTGTTTCAGTAAGATGTGACGGGAAAATAGAGAGAGTAATAAAAACATTCTTTAAACCACATCATGACTTAGCTAAAAAAAAAAAAAAAAATCATAACTATTAATATTGAAGAAAAAAGTTACAGTACTTTCTGGACTAAAAGCTGCTTCTTTTTCCAAGTTTTTTGAATCCTGCCACCGATATACAGATCAATAAAGTTTATCTTATGTAAAAAAAAATTTTGCGCCCCCTAGGGTACAGGAAGGGAATTGTACACAGTTCTATCAGCTGTTGATCTCAAGAGGTGAGGAGGTGATGAACACACATTCCTGCTTCCTGGTGGGTTTATGTGAACAGCAGAGAGAGCTGGTAGACTTATTATGTTTAGTAACGATAGGACGCACATTTATTGTTAAAATAGACAATTTTTACTAGAGCGCTTTGATCATCACAAGATGTATGTGGAATGTATGTTCTTTAAAACTTTTTACAGGGGGAAGTTTGTATACAGGTGTGAATAATAGCTCAGCAAGTACAGTATATGTATCTTCAGAAAGCTGTCACTAAGAACTATAAAGAGGTAGAGGAAGTAGGAAGCAAAATTATCACACCAATTAACTCATAATTGTCTATCATATTGTCTATTGTGTGTCCTTGGTGCACTTCTATTTGTCATTTAAAGAAATTCTATGGAGATTTGTGTATGCAGGCCTTATAGCAATCTTTACTTTTATAACTTGTTTGCACCACGAGCCAAAGCTATGTCCTGCTACTTACAATGGCTATACAAATAATTCTGATTCTGATCATTACAAATGTACTGTTGTGTCTCCCTGTCCTATCTGTTCATGTCAACTACAATGTAAAATAAAAAAACTCCACATTATTGTCATACTCTTCTCTTGGACCACGACTCAAGTATTCCATGGATGGCCTTCTTTACCACAGATGTATTCTTCTTTCAGGTCAGAGCGTGTGCATGACTCTGACTCGGGCGCGGGTGAGTGGCAGCTGCTTACAGTCTAAACACTCGCCACACGTCAGACACAAGAGCTGCTTTGTCCACTGCTCTTAAAACCACACGGGGGATCAGCCTCATGAATTACATCACCACCCTCTACATTTTAATCACCTTTTTATTCTTTTTTGTACTTAAATAGAAATAAATAAGAAAACGACTTTTTAGTGAGTGCATGTATTTCTGCCAATTCTAATGTTTTCCTTCTTCATTCGTTTGTCTCTTTATAATCCTTTGCCAATTATCATGTTTTTTTTACAGATGAAAAAAACTCTGATAAGTATAATACAGTATATATTCATTGTTTTGTATTTTTCTTTTGTATTTTCTATACTCACTCCATATTCTTAGCTTTGAATGTGTGCATTAGAAAGCAGCTCCTTAGCGTTTTCTGTCAAATAGAATTACAGAAGATGTTTTTTCCCCTCACATTTCATTTTTGATGCAGCTGTTTGAATAAAACATCCAACATTAAATTGTCCATTTTTCAAAACTGAATATTCAAATGGTTCTATGCCTTTTATCATAACAAACTGTTTAATACATGCAGTTTTACATACAAGATAAACAATAACAGCTTTTTATTAAGGACTTTTTTGGATGTACCCTAACCCAACTAAGTGCAGAATATACAGATATGTTTTAAAGCTGGGGAACCTGACTTTCACACCACAAAAACAGTACTATGTCTAACTAGTTCCTTGTTCTCATCCAAAACAACAGTTTGAATCACTATAGTTTTAAAATTCATGCATTTCTGGCCTCTTTAGATCAGCTTTCTCTCTCACTGTTTTCCAATAAGAGAAAGAGAGCAAGTTGAGGTCCGATTTGTTCACAACATTTTGCTTAGAAGAGTCTTTGTGTTGGTGTATGTATTGTTTACGCAACACAAAAGTTAGTACCCCCGCTTTAAGTGTTACCATATTTCTAACTCTGAAACCCATAACTCATAGAAAGAATCCTTTTATGTAGGATGATATGACAAAGCACAGAGATAATGTCTGCGTAGAGCTTCAGGTATGATCATTATTTTGACACATCCACTTCTTTTATCTTTTCCTTTCATCTGACTTATTTATTATTAAAGCTTTGGCTTGATTGTAATGGAACACATCATCTGTGACAGACAGAGCTTCAAAGATGAGAGATGTGAGACACTATGGGCACTTCTGTTGCAGCCTGGAGTCATTCTAATACAGTACAACAAGGTGGAGAACAAAAAAGAGAAAGTTGCCAGAAATACAAAACTATCCAATTAGTTTTCTGACATTTATCAGTGATAACGATCAGCTCATTCCCCTAACCATTTAGTTTTTCATCACATAAAAAAAAGAAAAAAGAAAAGAAATTCTGCCATACGCTACGCAATAATCAGACAACCAGGACCTTTTCACATGTCTTGACATTACAACTAACCTAGTGTGTAAGATGTGCCGGGAGATGACTCCGCCTGATTACAACAAATGCTGTGAAAATGGCACAGAGATAGAAGAAGAATGCAGATCATATGAAACAGAGATAGGTGGCCTGGATCCCCCGATGGCGAGGCTGACCCCTTCTGGAAGGCAGTGACCCGCACCTTTTTAAACCAACCCCGGGGAGCATGGCGCACACTGGCAGGCTGATTAAAAGCAGAGTGGAAAGACATCAAGGCCACCGCTACCAACAGCAAAGCAGAGGAATGCATCACAGCAACAGAGTCTGGGCCTTTTTTGCATAATTAGTATTCTATGAGTTAACATGTTGGTAGAAGAAGAGACAGTAGTGGAGTTTGAGATGCATCCCGACAACATATGGCATGTATGACAGATTATGTAACTCAACTGAGGGTCCAGTTTTGATCAATTGTGTAAAAATGTAGATTTTTGCTGATAGCTAATACTAATCTAGGGCCTTGTCAACCGTTTATCTTCAACATGTTACAGAATTGGCAGAGATGGCACCTGTGTCTGCAAATACTAATGCCACTAAGAAATAAGTATGCAAGTGCGCACAATGTTGAAACCAATCCATCTAACTTCCTATGTGTCAAAACATGCCTCCCATGCATGTATTTTTGGCCGGTCATATCATTAGATCAGCTTATTCAGTGAAAAACACACTCCCACAGCCAATCAGTTCTTAGTACTGTATATAAAAGATGATGTGTTTTCTAAGAAATATAGACAGCGAGTTTTGGTCTGACTTTTTAACACCATGATTTATAAAACACAAAAAAGTTAGGCCAGCTCCCACACAATTTGCAAAACACATATGTCCAAACATTTAGAAAATTCTAGGGATAATAAATTGCTATTATTTGACCATTTATTCAAACGCTTTCTATACGAGAGATTCCACCAACTGATGGATCTCGTCTCCTACTTCGTCAGCCGATAGCAGTAGCTCCTCCCAGTTCTTATCAGTGTTGTGTTCGGTCCTGGCCCAAGTGTCTCTTTCCAAACCTAGCTTTAGTCTCTGCACTGCATCCATTAGCCTCTCCTCTGGACTTGAACTACAAGACCCACAATCCTCTTCTTCTTCTTCTTCTTCTTCTTGCTGCTTCTGCTGTGGTTGGTGTTGCTGTAAAGGTGGCGGACTCAAGCATTGTTCTGGTCCCGCCTCCTCCATGTACAGGTTATGAGACAGCGGGGAGCCACAGAGAACAGTTGGAGGCGGAGTCAATTCATCTTCATCACCGTCCAGAAGTTTAAGCTCTTCATCATCCTCTGTCTCCTCATTTTCGTCCTCCTCGTCTTCTAATTCGTCTTCTGTTGTGTCGTTGTTGTGTTGGATTTCTATTTTCTCCAAGGCTTGCGTCACAAAGGTCTCCAACATTGAGTGATGGCGTTTCAGGGTTTCTACCGTCACCTCCACCTGGGAATACTTGTCTTCCAAAACGCTGTGCTCGGATTGGACGGTTTGCCTCAACGTCTCAAGCTGCTCCTCCAGTACACACTTGTCTTGTTGCAAAGTTCGCAGTTCCTCTTTAAGGGCCTCTCTTTCTGATTGGTCGATGTCCCAGTCCGTTTGCTGGGCAGAGTCCGACCTCTCCGGAGATGGTGATTGGTCAGAGGATGGCGATGGGGCATTGCGAGACAAATCCAAGCGTTCCTCTATTGGCGATTGAGGCTTCTGTGGAGGCTCCATTGGCACTTGTCTTTGCCTTCGGTTTTGTTTTAATCTCAGGGCATGGCGGGCATTCTGAACCAACGACGACATTGATTCTTTAAAATTGGGTGGGGTGCAGAACTCAATCATCGGATGGTGTTGCTTGTGCTTCCTGGTCCGGCGATTCGTGAAGAAACATGTCTGACAAAGATGCACATTGACGCATTTCTCGCACCTGAACCGTAGTCCGCTGAAGGGACGAGATTTGCAGCAGTGGCAACGAACGTTATGGGAGACATTTTGACTGACACTGAGCCGATACATCGTAGGCAACCAAATCAGCAGACGGGGTTCGCTTTGAAGCCATGACACTACATGATCGCGAGAGACGGACGGCGAAAGAACGCTTTTAAAACAGGACTTAACTGCTACCTCGACCGATCCGAAAACAGCCTCCTCGTGCACCAGTTTGGGAATCATACTGAGGTTGTGAAGCAAAGTCCGAAGAGAAGCTCGGTTGACGGACCCGGGAATTGGGGACGTCCCGGAGGCAGCTAACGACACCAACGCTAAATACTTCTCCGCCAGTGAATCGGCACATAACGCAACAAGAAAAGTCTGCAAAGAATCCACGTCAACACTTCCGCCCTTGTCAAAAACGGTAAAAATCGCGCTGCTGGTTTCGTCGGGTGCCTCGAGAGTCACGTGACCGGGAATCTCTTGAGACACGTTGACGTACATCCTGTTGAGGAGCTGAACTACTTCCTGCCTGTCCAAGTCTCTGGCTCCGTCCACCGAGCGCAGGGCGGCGACGATGTGACGAACCAGCACCACATGTAGCTGCGTGAGTCTCTGGATAGACTGCAGTTTGAGAGCAGATCTGTACACCGACGCATGCACTTCATTTAAGGCCTCAATGCTCTCCAGATCCATTATGAAACTATCGAAAGGGCTGCAAATATGGATAATCCGCGAAATGACAGAGACGACCCTTGTGTATGTACTCCACAAAGCAGGCGGAAAGCTAATGGGACAATAGTGGAACACGGTGAGCTGACTTGCAGTCGGTTAATTATAAATGAGCTGTTGTTGCCACTTCTCGCCTGTCACCTGTTCAACCTGCTGTTTCTGAGCCAATCATAAGGTCTGATTCTGATCATGTGATAGCCCACAGAGGGAGTGGATTATTCTACGTTTACGCAGCAGTTATTAGACAACTCTTCAAACTATATTATAATAATTCAAGGTTTTGGAGATGTTTGAGGCCAACTTGTATACACTTTCTGTTTGTTTCCAGAGGGATGATTCATTCGTCTTTAGTTGGAATATTCCACAATATGGAATTAAAATGAACCTTTATCTTGTTAAAGTAGAGTCATAATAAGCAAGTAGAGTCAAGCAACCTGGTATGAGGTTAAAACCACATCAAAAAAGTTTTTGTTCAAATTGGTTTGGGTCAAATTTGGCAAAATGTATCTTAATTTGATCACATTTTGAGTGCTGTAAAACAAGATTTGCAAATGGGACAAGCAAAATTATCCTGTTTTACAATTATACAAGAAATGTCTTCTTTGTAATGAGAAAATACAGCAACAGTTCTTGAAATAGGTGTTGTCAGAATGTACTCAAATTAAGATAAAAACTTGAATCAAGCATTCATGACCTTATATGATATTTTTTTGCTTTGTTTTACCTTATATTCTCATCAGGATGATTACAGTTTTTTCACTGTTAAATACACTTTGTTTTTTGATGACATTTCTTGTTTCTTTCATTAAAACCTTGTCAATTATAACAGACGACAAAAGAACTTTATATAGTAGTCTTTAATTGCCGACAAACTTTAATCCCTTCAATATAATCACACTGCTGTTCGTAATATATAGTTAGGGCATTTGGGAGCGGCTTCTTGTTGACTTCGTCGTTAAGTCTGTATTTTCTAGACGCATGAAGTCAACATTAATTGGCTTCAGTGGATTGGTCAAAGGCCTGCGGTCCCTTGGCGTTTCATTCACACCCTTCTGGATTAAAGCGGATTTATGTACATCAATATGAGGTGGTATAGACGCCCGTGTGAGTGTGTACGTAAGGAGTGGGCAGCCCGGGCAGAAAAGCCATCACGTGTGGGAGTTTTCACACAAGCCAATTAGAAAAGCAACTCATTAATGTTTCCGTCCGCAGTGAGAGGCGAAGGTGTGCTTTGTGTGTGCAACAAGGTCAAACACGTCAACAAGAGTTCCCTACTTTCTTATTTTCTTTTTCTGTATGAATCTCATGTGAATATTGATTTGTATAGTTTCTTTACAATGCAATTCACTGCAAAAAGTGATGAGAAATTGGCTAAATTTTGGGTTAATGTATCTTCTTATTGGCGCATTTTGACCGCTTTAAAACAAGATTTACCAATGGGAAAAAGCAAAATGATCTTGTTTTTAAAAGATACAACGCATGTCTCCCTTGGAATGAGAAAATCTAACAGTTCTTGAAAATGGCTTTGTCCCATTGGCAAATCTTGTTTTGTCAGAATGTACTGAAATTAAGATTCAAACCACGTTATTAAAGCATTTACTTTTTCATATTTTATCACTTCCTTGCTTGATGCTTCCAAATAAAGATTACTATTATTAGAAAAAAGCATGAGTATGAGAAATACAATCCAATGTAATATCCGGTAGATGCTTTAAATTAGATGCAGGAATTTGCTCAGTCAACCAAATACAAAGGAAGCCAGTCAAAAGTTTAAGTTCGGCCCGGGCGGTGACTTCTTACTTAGCACCACTTGAGTACATTTCACACGCAACCGCATACAGTTCATGGCTTTAAAAAAAAAAACGCATTTCTTTGTGATACTACTAACCTATATTTGTCTTAAAGCTCATAATTGGAAACACACCATTCTCCCCAAAGTCACAACACCAACCACTGCGCACCTCTTTCATGTCCCGTTAAGAGGCCAAACGCTAATCTGAAACCAAAGCATATTTGCGTTAATCCTGGGCTTCCCGAATTCTTCATGCTCTCCACGCCTTTTCGGAGCTGGTAAAGTTACACCGACGTGAGAGGGTGAGAGGGTGAGAGGAGGCAGATTCCTGGGTGTTTCTACAAAGAAGGACAGATGTTGTTTTGGATGAAAGTGAGCCTGTGTGTGTGAAACGTCACTGGTGTAACTTTGAAGACTTCTGACATGCAGGTGTGTCAGCCCCAAATGGACGCAAGGACATTCAACAATACGCTGTGGAATGTGTGGTTTTGCCAAGCGGGAGTACAGGGGAATTGTGGCAGTCGGAAATTATTATTGTCATCACAGGTTGTCTTTCCTTATGTGCGTTTTCCAAAGGATTCGACCTTTTTGTGCGATTAAAAAAGACATTTATCAACATTTATGGACATTGGTCATGCTTGCTTTGGACCATTGGCTCCTATGTGTTTATCCTCATTGCATTCTCTGTATTGGAACTGTGGGATTCTCTGATCTGTGTTGAGAAATGGACAACTTTATAACGTCCTCAAAGATGACTGTTGTTGTAATTTAGGCCTATACAAAAATACAATTATTTTTTTTGTACCTATTGTTTGTATTTCTGGTTCAATTCTCTTTACTGTCCTGAACTTTCCATCACTTGCTGCTTGCATATGTTCTTGTTTGTTTATGAAATTCAATCAATATGAAGAATTGATTACCAAAAAACAAAACGTTGTAGATATAATGCATTTTAAATCACAAATAGAAAAATTGACATCCACAACAATCTTTGACCTTTACAGACATTTCTTCCTGCATGCATTTGGCAATAGTTTTATGTATTCCAAGCAATTCATTGATTCCGAGCCTTAAAACAGCGGTAATGCTTTGTGCCCACATGCTTCAGTGTTTACATTCACAACATGTTTGCTCATATGTCTCCAATATAACGCACAGTGGCGCCCCCCTCTGTTAGGCCATCCAAGACCTCTTTTATCCACTCTCTCTCTCTCTCAGGGACTCTGGCCTCTGATCGACAGCACTGACACAGCTGTCCATCAAAAATCGTATTCCATATATTTTCACAGCTATATTGATGTGATGTGAAAGCTTATTCATTCTGCATATTATTTACAAGCTTATTTTATTAGTTATTCCATTCACAACTGCAGACATCTCAGAGGACTATACATAAGGTTGTGCGGATTCCTCGGATCAGAGAATCAAACAGTTAAAACCCAAGAATAATTGCATGATAACAAATACATAGGAGCCATTTGTCCATAGGGAGAAGGATGACCGATGTCCATAAATGTATTTTTTTTTTATGTTTTAATTTCAGACAACACAGTCACCAAACATACACTCACATATGTACAAAACATACAATACTTAACATAACACAATGACAGAAACCCACTTACCAGGCAACAGTAAAACAACATACACAAGCTTGCAGATGGGATAGATAGATAGACAAAAAAACCCACAAAAAAAGACATTACGTACAGACAGAACACAAAACAGACAGAAGTCGTTGAGGTTTTTTAATCCATTCAATTTTTTTCTATGTATTCATAAAAAAAAAAAAAAAAAATGTCCATAAATGTTAATAAATGTATGTCTCAGAACATCGCTGAACTAGTACTGTATGTACAAGTGCGATTCAAGAGGGAGTTGTGCTATGTTTACAACGCCCCAGCAGTAGCAAGACGGTAGCCCGTAGCGTAGGCCTGGCTAACATTTACAAGGCCTTTTACGGCACCTAAGCACACTCACCTGCTACAAAGAGCTTTGGGCATCTGCGCTGGCACCCGTCCAAAATACTCCAGCGAATATTTGGCTCATGTCATAGCTTCCAGTGCAGTATACCGTAACCGGTTTTCGTTCTAAGTTTTAAAACAATATATATTATAGGTCTCTACCAAATGGTTGAGATGCAAATTGATGGTAAAAGTGCTTAAAAATACCACATTATTGAGCAAACCATTAACCATGTTTTTGCCTTACAAAGTAGGGAATTTGAATGACTATCACAGTGTAAAGCTCAGCAGGAAATCTTAATGAACACTAATTTTTCATGTGTTTTTTGCCTGGATATTTACACAGTTTGTCATTTACCTACAACGAAAAAAGGCAAAATACACATGAAGAGCAGTTGTTGTCTAATTTTCTTTTATCTGAGTTGCTATATTCTGACGTGTAGTGATGAATTGGACATTTTAATAAGTTGTTCCGCGACAGGCTCGAGGCTGCTCTGTGGTCCAGCCCGCTGTAATTACTGTCATATTCTCACAGACGTCACATATCTGCTACAAAACCAACATGACACACGAGCAGTCACCAGTGCGAAGAAGGAAGATAGGCCAGGACTATTTCGCAGAATCGGCAAAATATAATCTCTTCAATCTAAAAACATCTGTCCACGTAAACTACAGAGCCGCAACTAGCATTTGTTTTGATAATGGCTTTTACGATAATTTGTTTCCAATCCGTCCTGTTTATCTATCTAAGTACAATACATGCAGTGCAAGCAAAAGTGCTTTACAAAGACATAAAATCACACACATTTACAAACATTTTAAAACTACTATCAGGTGAATGAATGAATGCAGTTTATTTCGGTCACTTGTATATTTTACACATTTTCAGGACAGTAAATTTTAGCAGAAAACAAAGACCAAAAAGGAGTAGCTGAAGCTTATATTGCCTACTCTTTTACAAGTGTCATTCGTATAAGTGAATGTAAACAATAGGATTTAAATTAGCAACTATATCAACATCAAAAATCTGAGTTCAGGTAGCCATCCAAAATGATATGTTTAAATATCCTTTGAAAGAGGTAAAGTGAATTGCATGACTTAAGTTCATCTGTGCATCGGTTCCAGAGATCAACACCTCTAACAGACAAACAACTTTTCATTACATTTGTTCTATATTTGTGTTTTATGAACATGTTTGTTCCTCTGAC